TAATTCTAAGAACCAAATATATTATAGTTTGAAACAGCTATAGTCAGACTCAGATGCTAATCTCCTACAATATAATTAAATGTATTCATTGTTTTAATCATGATCTTTTATCTACATAAGTATTATTGTATAGTTGTTGAATAGCATTAACTAGACTCATTGTGTTTATTTACCATTTAATTAACTATTTAAATTAACTAGACTCATTGTGTTTATTTACCATTTAATTAACTATTTAATTTAAGTCACTAGTGGCAACATTTTATAATTGTTTATTGTACAACAAATTCAACTTAAAACTAGAGATTAGTATCTTGACAACAAAGTCATATAAATTACACTCAAGTTCATTACAGAGATATATTATTTTCGGTGCCCATTATTTTCACCCTAAAGAATGCACATCGTCTTGTTCATTCCTTTTTAGTTATAAAATGATTTTAATGTGTTGCTGGTAAAATAAATTCATATCCAGAGTATACAATTGTTCCTGATTTTATGGAAGTAACCCACTAGGTTACAATGCTATACACATACTCTAAAAGAAGTTAAACTTAAAGATACATTGCCTCGAAAGTATTTATCAGGTGGTTGTTTCCCCATAAGAGTATATGGCAAATTTGGTATATATGGTAAGTATAGACACCCAATCTTACCAGAAAAAATACTGGATTACCCCAAAAATATCTATGCGCAAGCACTGGGAAAAGATGTCAGGGTATCACCACCAACTGGCAACCGACTGTTGTCTGCCAGCTTATTGTGTGCTAGCTTGACTCAGAGAGCGGTTGTTATTTCTTGATCAAATGGTTAGGCGGTTTGGAGAACATTGAGGGGTGTCAATAAAACAGCGCAAAAAGAGGTTGACAGCAAATAATTAAGAATTTACTTAGGCCTCAATATGTATGATAAATGGACAGTAAGTAATAAAAATACATTTTGAAAAATGGATCCTCCCACAATGAATTGAGCTTACATACATAGCATCTAACAACAGTTTATTTATAGCTTGGGGTATCTCCCCACGAAAACAAATTTTTGAGAGGGAATTGAAGCAAATTTTTGATAGATTAATTAGTTTGAATATCTTCAAATGACACAGTTTGTACATGGGAAAGTGTGTTTAACAGGAAGAAGAACTGATTCAAATAGTTATAACTAATCAAATACACTATGACTGAATATTTATTGGTGACAGGTGAATAAAAACTACTGTAAGACTAGTACTGTCATACATATGAATATTGTGACACAATTTTCACCAGATTTGTTGATATCCTTCACCATAGAGAATCACATCTTCTGTGCAATGGTTTAGAGTTTAGACCAATGGGAAATACTGAGCCTAAATAACTTTTGATCAATAAAAGATGGTAACTTTAAAACCTAAATTAAGTAGATTTCGTAACTTTGATTGAAAGTTACCTACACACAATGATCAATATAATTTATCTTAGACCAAATCACACTAATAGATGTCCAGCTTATGAGTTGTCTAGACCACCAAGATGCTTATCATTTAATTTGTATGACAAAACTTTGAAAGTTGACAAGTATTAATGAAGCCATTTTGGGTCGATTTTTGTTAAAATGAAGTCACATTATATGTATTTTCTGTTGTGCAAACGCCATGTGTGTGTGTGCAAATAAAAACCATGTGTTTTTAAGACACCGGTGCTTGTCAGTAGTGCATGATTGAGGTCCTAGATGTTCGGACTGAATGAAAACTGAGGTCCTGTATACACGTCGGCATTCACTTAAACCTTGCCATAAATGTGATGAAGAGCTTAAACATACAACAGTTTCTGAGATAAAAGAAAACATGGAAAAAGACGTGAGCAGTGGATAATCTGAGAATTTAATTAAGCTTTGATTTTTTTATGATGAATGGGCGGTAATTAAAGACAACATCATCTTGTATATGCAATGAATTCTCCTCCGGCTTCACACCTGTTGCTTAAGTAGCATGTCAGCCAAGTCATGTGACACAAACATGACTTCTTTTAATACATGGTTGGACAGGCGATCCTACTCCTTGTCACGTACAAGCAGGGAATAGAAACCATGCCACTTGACTCAGTGACAGACCTTCTATTCCAACGCACATAAGCTAACCATTAAGCCATCCAACCTCCCTATGTCAGAGGATCTCTTCTATTATTTAAGCTGGTCAGATATAAATCAATGATCATCAATGATATATAATGGATGAGGTAGATACATGAACCAAGGAACTAGACCATCATGTTCTTCCATTTTTTTTTCCTGCTTCAAATTAATCAATAAAAAACCTCCAATATCAATCAGCTTTCTTTTCCCCACTTCATCTTATAAAACAAATCACAATGATTTTAAACACAAGTAATTAATGGCCATAGTAGTTTTATTTAGACAGTGGATGACTTTGCCAATTATTTTCTTCCACGATTTACAACAAGGTTTTAGAACATCGATTTTCTTTGGGGGGGTCTTGGACTACATTCACTTTTTTCGTACTTTTATTTTGATCTGTCTTTTTAGACAGCTATTTTCTTCTACGATTTACAACAAGGTTTTAAACATTGATTTTCTTAGGGGGGTCTTGGACTACATTCCCTTTTTTCGTATTTTTCATTTGATCTGTCTATTTAGACAGTTATTTTCTTCTACGATTTACAACAAGGTTTTAAACATTGATTTTCTTTGGGAGGTCTTGAACTATATTCTCTTTTATCGTATTTTAACTTTGATTTGATCATTGTCTTCTAACTGAAGCTTTTTGGGGTGGATTAAATCTTTAAACGGAATTTACTTGAACAAAATCAATCAGAAATCAACAATTCTGCCATGATTAAATATATAGATCTATAATCAAGCATTATTGGTTATCAATTTGCAAGAAATGAACAGAGAACAAGTGATTTTTCGTATAATCAGGGGCCATAATCTGGGATATTGCGGTCAGACATGCGTCAATATAAACAGACATTTCAGCATATTCCCCTTACATTTACATCATCTAGGTCCCGTGTATTAATTGGTATGCATGTAAAAATCCCTTGGCAGTAGGCCATAGTGCTGCTGCCCGGGCAAAATTTCCCTCAAAGCACACTGTATGCCCGTCTTCTTTAGCCCAGTCGGAACAGAACAGTGGGAACGTTAAATCCCATTTCATTTCATTTCACATTTAATCTGTGTCATCCAAGTGCATTGAATAATTCATGAATTTATCTAGGGTAGTTTTATTTAGAAACTAAAATCATCAATGAAATTTTAATGGGTTTGTTATTTTGCTTTTTTTTTTACAAATGAATAATTTGAAGTTGTTTAAAATACATTCAGAGTTTTTTTTAAGAACTTTTTTCGATATGAATTTATTTCCATTGTAATGAAGTGGAGGTGGTAGTCTGTCAGCTATTGGAGGCAGCGGTAGCTCATTGGTAAGAGGTCTGGATTATCGAATAGAGTGACCTGGTTCGAATATCGAAGTAGGCCGAGAGAAAAATTGGTATTTTTCAAAACTGGAGATTCTCTGTCAAGTCAAGTGTTGTCTATTCGTTGAGAAGGGGCGAAAATCTGCATCCACCAATGTTCACATTGGTGAGCATGTAAGAAAAAATATGTAGTGTTTATTTTATTTCATCTTTCAAAGTTTTTATACAGAGAATGCTCGTGATCAACTCTTTAGTTGGATATCAAGCACTTTATAAACAGATTATTATTATCATTACTTGAATATTAAAATCAATATTCACTGTGACCACTACAACTCAGTATTGTATCCAAGTGCTTATCTTAGCCTGCAATGGATTTTTATATGGATTCAAGTTTTACATGAACAAGGAACTGCATGTTCCCTGTATACGTTAACTATCAACGTTATTATAGAGAAGCACTATTGTAAATACTGTATCTTTCTGTAGGCAGGTACTGAAGAGTTATCTTTCCATTGATTATGACCAATGCTTATTTGTTATGTATGTACTGATTTCTTTCAATGTGAGATGTTTTTCTTTCTACCTACCTGTCTACCTGTATTTATTTAGTTTGGTTACACAGAAATATGTAAATTGTAGGGAAAGGGGTGATGGGGTGAATGAGAGGTTGTACATGTTTGCTTCAGAATGTAAGGTCCACCATGGAGACAAATGGTGCGGTTTCAGTGCGGAGTAGTCAGGCTTGCCTGTCTATTGCCTAGCCTCAGGGATTTTCTTGTTTTCTCCTCCTAATAAAGACACCTACATAAAGTGAATGATTAAAAAAAAAGTGTACCATATGTTTGTTTCAAAAACTGACCTAGCTCATGTTATGCAGATTGCTGCCAAGTAGAGCAACTGAATAGAGTTTACTGTCTCATCAATACAAAACTTCAGTCATTTTGAGACAAGCAGGTGGTAATTTTATTTCTACAGTTATGTGTACAATGTGAGGTTGTGAAATATTTTCTAGACAGTGGTGTTTCATATGCAGTGTTGTTTCCTAGACAGTGGTGTTTCCATCTAAACCTACACTTAACCTTTTGGACACCTGCGGCCTGTACGACATTAGGCTTATATACTAGTCTTCCAGGGTAAAAATGGACCAAAACTTGGCTAAAATACTGAGCAACTGGTATATCGGCCAATTCAGGTACCTGTTCATTACTAATTGCCTGAACAGGTACCTACAGGCTGCTAAGTGCTTCAGCCAAGGAGCCTCCAGGACAGTCTTTTGGTTGTTGGGGCCCAAAGGGTTAAATGTTTTCCAAGCATTGAAGGTTCTCATGCTAATATTTTCATGTGGAGACCACAGTTTTTTGTACCAGCCACAAAACAAGGTACTTCTCCAATTTAACCTTGCTAAGGTTCAATCTGGCCTGAACCCCCAATATTCTAGTTGAAAGTCCAGCGTCTGGACTGCTTGACTTCTTTTTTTTGGGGGGGGGGGGGGAGGCTTTACACCCACTTCCACCTAATGTGATATCACAGAAAAACTGCTTGACTGCTCATGATCCTTTAACAAAGTGAATGAATGAAACTTACTATAATCTTCCTCCACATTAACATCATCTAGTTCTATTTCTTCTTTATCTTCTATTGTTATAGATGGTGTAGTACTAGTGACAGGAGTCGTGATTACCATTTGATTAGCTTGTACTGAAACAAAATATATTATCTTATTTACCAGCTGTTTGTTGTATCTTGTACCAGTTATTGCTTTCCTTTGAGTAATGAATGGATGAATGAAATGAGGTTTAGCATCCTACGTTTCTGCTCCAACCAGGCAAATAAATACAGGCATATGCCACGCAGTGTGCTTCCCTTTGAGGAGAAATCCATCCCTTGTACCTTGATCTGTTGTGAGGGATGTCAATCTGAGAGATAAATGGGGTTTAACATCCACTTGACACAAACTAGGTCATTTTGGTACTAACATATCGTTCAATTTGAGTGTAGGGGCCTTTAGCAGTGGGAGGAAACCGGAAGACTCATAGAAAATGTACAAGGTTGGACAGATGACCCTACTCCTTGTCACATACAACCGGGGAATCAAAACCATGCCAGTTGACTTAATGACAGACCTTATGATACAATGTGCACGTGCTTACCATTCGGCCATCCAACCACCCTTAGTTACACATCAGATCAACTCATTTAGTGGCTCAGTGAGTAGGACGCTGGCTCACTAACATGGAGGTCCCGTGCTCGATCCCGATGTTGTTTGAAAAAGTTCATTTGGATTTTTCGACATGTTTCCCTATTGTAAGTGGTGTAGGACAAAAAGTCTGGCATGGGACAACGCAAAGTAGTTCAGATGGATGAAAAACGTAAAAGAAACCTTGGCAGTTGGAATTCGAAATAAGAGTAAGCTGAAGCGCCGCTGTCCAGGCAAAATTCCCTCATAGCACAGTTTATCTCCTTTAAACATGCTTATCTTAATAAATATTACCCTTCAATTTGGAAAACTATTCACCACTAAAATAAAATATTATAAACTCACCTAAGTATTGTTGTAGTTTTTCATATTTTGGACCATGATTATATCTAACAAGTTTTAAATTAACAACTTGTCCAGTATTACGTAAAACTTCCACTGCTTGATGATTCGTATAGCCATGTAGAGATAATCCATCAACCTGTTGATAAAACAAACATTATAAAGAGATAGTGCACCTGGAAAACTAAAGCTATAAAGAAATAACAAATGGAAATCATCTTTTAAACATAGTAAAGGGTTTAATCCCGAGTGTCATTTAGTGATTGAGCACATTAAAAAAGACAACACAATTTTATATAATACAATCACTGATTTATACACATATAGCACAATGTTTCGACAAGTATCCTCTTATCGTTATCAAGTATCATTTGTACTTGATAACGATAAGAGGATACTTGCCAGGGGTTTGCCAGGACTTGTTCATGTTCCTAAAGCAACGACTCTGAATTTTACAACATCTAGCTGTTGCTAGATTAGTCTGAAATTCCCAAACTTTTAGGTAGTTATCTCCCTTTACCACACATACGTGTGATACAAACACATAAAGGAATAGATTCATTTCAGCTGTTGATAGCTTTTTTTTTATCTAGTTGAAAAACTCACGGAAAACCAAAAAAAATAACCCTACTAGCATAATGTAAGAATAAAAAGTTGGACCAAGATGTGAAGTGGGTCATAGCATAATCATAGCAGAAAAGCGGATAGGTCCAGCAACCTTGATATTGAATGAAGCTTGAACTTTGAAACTTGATTATCACAGCTAGACATTGGTAAGCACACAACTTGGTATTTGCGATGAAATTTTCCATGGAGGAATCTGAGAGGTTCACAGCTATTGAAGACGGGACCTGTTATTCATTAAAACCATACAGAAGCAAAATCTAAAACCAATGCCAACAAATTTCACGCAGAAATCCAAGTCAGTTTTGAAAAATTCCATATAGAACAAACGAAAAAAAAAAAAAACTTTAATAAAAGGTTTTGAAATGATTTACCTCGATAATTTGATCATTAACTTGAATTCTACCATCTTTTGCTGCAGCGGATCCTTCTGCTATACTTTTCACAAAAATACCTGATATGTCTTCTGCAAATATAGAATAACAAACAATAGTACCAGTGATACAAATACATGATAAATATACGCATTAAACTTTACGGCAAGACATAGACCAACAGGCCTTCAGTCTCGATGATTCAGTCTTGTACTCTGTCAAGCCATCTTTGAAAATTAGGAATCAAACAGAGTTATCTCCTCTAACATGTGATTTCGAGTCATAGACATTGAGAGAGTCAATGTGCTGTAGACCTAGTTGGACAAGCAACCCTACCCCTTGTCACTTACAACCACGCCAGTTGACTCAATGGCAGACCTTATATGATACAGCGTGCACGCATGAACCATTCAGTCATCCAACCTCCCTAGAAGCCAGAGAGCTCAAATTGAACAAACAAAATTAGGAATATCATTTTCCCAGTGCCAAAGGCCATCGCATCCCTGAATAAAAGGAGTTTTATCCTACCTGTTCCCGGGGTCTCCTCTCCTCCTATATAACCAGCTATAGTGATACCAACACCTTGATGATCTTTAACTAAATCAACATCAAATACTTCAGCACCATCCAAATCTTCGTTCATTTCATACGCCGGTTGCTGTAATTCCAAATACTACAGATATAAAAAAATACAAAATAATCACTTTTAAAATATTGTACCAGAACTATCCGTTCAAGCCAATGACGATCATTTGAATTTTTTGGACATGATCTGATTTGTCTCGAATTAATCCATGCCAAAATGTACTCAAATAGATTATCTAACATTAAACCACATGCTGAAATCTAACTATTCAATATTTCAATAAAATAAATGAAATGAAATGGGGTCCTACTGGGCTAATGAAGACACCAAACAGTGTGCTATGACAGAAATTTGGCCAAGACAGCAGCACTATTGCCTACTCTTATATTGAATTCCAACTGCCAAGGGATCTTTTACATACATGCCAATGAGTATACAGTACTTAGGTTTTTCGCCCCATCAGAATGACTAGATATAATTTGTCCCTTGTCAGGCCGTCTGTCCTGCACCACTGACAAGGAAGATTCAATAAAGTATGACCTTACTGAAAATAAAACCTCCAAATACAATATGGGAAAATTTTACGATAAGATTCTAAACTTCTACTTACAGGATGAACTTGAACTTGTCCCTGCATATCTCTATCTCTATCTCTCTGCATCTCTCTATCCCTCTCCCTCTGCATGTCTATCGCGGCATCTCTTTCGGCATCACCTCTTCTATTATATTCATTCTGTTCATCGGCCATTCCCTGATCTATACTCTCCTGGTTATCCATGGCCATTATCTCATTTATTTGCATAAGATGTTCATCTAAGGCATGGGTAGCGATGATAGGGGCATGAGGAACCTGGAACGGTGGCGGTTCTAAGATCGATCGGGCCACTATCAATCTAACATGGCTGCCACTCTGGCGTAACACTAAAGCCACCTGTTCCGAGCTCATCCCGCGAACATTGACATCGCCAATCTGGAGAATGTGATCCCCACTGCGTAATCGACCGTCCTAATCAAAAAAATAATAATAATAACATTTGAACCAGGTCTGGAAACAATGATCACACCGAATTAGTACCAGATATTTTCACTGTAACCTGGGTATCATTTAATTTTGTGTATTTAGCACTAATTTCTTTTACATTCATTCAATATCAAATCTATTCGGAGAATCTGTATTCATTCCTAATACTTGGTAAACATCTGTCATCGATCCACATTCCTCTGAAAGCTGGTAGGCATTTTCAACAGTATCATATATTGGCTTACTCTACTTGGTAGTCCAACTACCTGGGATACTTCACATGCACAGCACATCTGGGATGGGTGGGGTGGATGTCCACTTGATTGATTCAACACCATTAATCTTATTGGCCCTATATCATTGAGAACCAAGATTGGGGTTGTATAGACATTTCTTTGTAATGATCACAGAGATTCACTGCGGGGGTTTGAGTTGGTTTTAGAGAAATGTGTTCTTACACTGTCAGCTATGACACCAGGAAGTATTGTTTTAGAGCAGTGATTCTCAACCACAGAATTTTGAACGGCACACTAAGAAAATGTGAAAAACCATGTGATCCCAATTGAGTATTCACTGGTGTCTACTGATAAGTTCACAGCTGTGGTTTTTTTTATTTAGTTTGAGTCATTCGATGTGTTTATGACTAATCTCTGTCTACGGTTGTATTCCATCTGACTTGCCATGTTTTTATTTTGCAAAATTCAAATATTTTTCATATATATTTAGCCAGGTGTGCTGCTATTTTTTCATGTGTTCAAAGGTGTGCCGTTGGCAAAAAAAGGTTGAGAACCACTGTTTTAGAGAAAATGTACTTACATTGTCAGCTATGCCACCAGGTAGTATTGTTTTAACAACAACACCTGTACTTCTACCGCCAATAATACCAAATCCTAAACCAGTACCATCATTAATCAGATCAATAACCTCTATCTGTGTCCATTCTGTACTCAACTATAACATAAACAAATATAACCACAATTAATAAACAATTATTCTGTACTCAGCTGTAATATAAACAAATATGACCAAAATTAATAAACAATTATTCTGTACTCAGCTGTAATATATACAAATACAACCAAAATTAAAGATACATTATGTAAGATTTAGATAAAGAACTAGCCATTCTTGCTATAATAGTTCGAAAGTAGATGACGTAAAATGAATAATTTGAAAATTTCATTCAAATTACTCTATTGCAAGCGAAGATATTAGCCTTTGAAGGTTTGACGGACGTGTGCAATAACTTCAACCACTGTACTGGTTGATCGAAACTAAGTCTTGGTCCTCCATATTTGATTAAATCAAAGTATCGCTGAACCATTCTAATCTATTTAATATCGGAGAAAACTGATGCCATCAAGAGTTGATTAAGGCCAGGATCAGTTAAGGCCAGTCTAATTAATACTTTAGAAAACATTTCAGACCTAAAGAAAGACCTGCAATAGGCAGATTTAGCTCTTGCATAATGCATGTTTAATAAACAATTACAACCAAAATTAATAAACAATTATTCTGTATGCAGTTGATTATATAAACAAATATAATGACATTATAATAAACAAGTATTCTAAGAATATTGCTGAAGCAATACAAGTCCCCTTCAAGACACCAAAAGATTTTTCAATGCAAGAATTTATAAGCGGTTGATACTGCGAATTCATATTCAAATATGTTTAGATGAAACAAATTCTGTAAAACTGAATTTTCACTGAATTGGTCTGTAACTCTGCTATATACAGCAGTGTACCAAATGTTTTTATGTACCGCTTGTCTCACTGCATTTTATGTACGGCTTGTCTCACTGCGTTGATAATCGGTACTGATAGGTCAGGAGATGTATGCAACATTTTATAATTGGAATACTGCAGGGCATCTAGCTACGGACAAAAATAGTTTCGTGAAATTGGTTTGGTCCGAGTGCCCGGAGTGGTCATTGGTACAAGTTGTCATGCATTCTCAATTGAGTTTTAAGCACACTGGCAGAGTATGAAATAAAGTTAAATAATACAAAAGTATGCTAATCAGTGTTTTCTTCAACATGATTAACAGTGTATCTTCAATATGAACATATAAAGAGAATATTAAACAAGTCTAAAGGATAAATACAATTCAGCTCTCCTTTATTCAAGAAAATGTAGAATTACTCTTTCAATATAATTAAGTAGCGTTTTTTACAGGAGCTCTTTTTTCGTTTTTGAAATTGGCAGTTTTTTATGGCTTCCGCATGATTTTGTAAATGTGAAGGACTGCTTTCATTGTCAGTAAGAAACAGACTTGAAAAATTATGACGGTTCAATCTTCATGGCTCACTCCAGGATTTGAGAGAGAGAAAGAAATGGGGTTTAACATCCACTCGACACAAACTAGGTCATTTCGGGATTAACATACGGTTCAATTTTATTTCAATAATTTGCTTGTGCGTAGGGGTCTTTAGCAGTGAGAGGAAAGTGGAGGACCCGGAGAAAACCCACTAAGTTAGACAGGTGACCCTACTCCTTGTCACGTACAACCAGTGAATCGAAACCACGCCAGTTGATTCAATGACAGACCTTCTGATACAGCGCACATGCTAACCATTCGACCATCCAACCCCCCTTCCTGGATTTGAAACCAGGATATTCTAATTAAGAAGACAATGTCTCACAGCTCGACTACCACCACTGCCCATCTAAAATATAAGCTGAAAAGTCTACCACTGTTACTGTCAAATAATTAGTCTGTCGATTTGTTAGCGAATCACCATAAATCAACAGAAAATATAATAACTAGCATGTCTATGAAAACAAATTTCTGAATTGTGTCTCAAACAGTTCTAAACCTACTCTCCGAATTGACATTGATTTATAGCTAGTATCCCCCTCTCTCAACCTACGGACAATATTTCAGATTATATCATCATCGCATGTATATTTATCTAATACAATCACTTTCTTCAATAACATTAAATCACATCTCTGCTGTATATACCACCTTATCCTAGTCTAGCATATTAATCAAACTTCTCAAAGATCCCTTGGCAGTTTGAATTCGATAAAAGAGTAGGCCACAATGTCGCTGTCCGGGCAAAATTTCCCTCATAGCACAATTTATGGCGTATGCCCGTCTTCATTAGCCCAGTCGGAGCAGAATAGTAGGACATTAAACCCTATTTCATTTCAATTATCAAACTTCTCAACACCAGAGTACAGAAATTAACACTTATGACATACAAGACATACAAATTTACCCAAATCATCTAATTTACCATAATTACGTGAATCCTTTTTACTAAGTCTCTTATTTGGGTCAATTCGGAGAAGTAAATCTTACTAGCATGTTGACTTGTCAAAATTCCTTTGATCTTTTCACTCATCAAGAGAAATAAAATGGAATGAGAGAGAGAGAGATCGTGTTTAATGTCCACTTGACACAAACTAGGTCATTTCAAGACTAACATATGGTTAAATTTTTCATTTCAATAATTCGCTTATGTGTAGGAGTCTTTAGCAGTGGGAGGAAACCGGAGGACCCGGAGAAAACCCACGAAGTTGGACAGGCGCCCCCACTCCTTGTCACGTACAACTAGGGATTCGAAATCACCCCCCTAAAATGAAATGAAATGGGGTTTAACATCCTACTCATCATCAATAGAGATTAAATCTTAAGTAATCATCCCAAATCTACTTTTATTTTGTGAAAATCTATAAGTGAAATTCAACAATTCTAAATACATCCATAGGTGAAATTGAATAGTTATTTGAATAAATATCAGACTGATAACATCAAACAGTCTATTGAGATGTCAACACCAAATGGGCTATATATATATTGCCACACTTATGTTACTGGTCAGTTTTCCAAGTAAGAGATGTTCAGCATTAGGGCACAGGGTCTTAGTACATAATTCATAAAGATTAGATAAAGAGCTGGCAGTTCTCACTATAATGGTTAAAAACTAGATGATGTAAGGGGAATATGCTGAAAATTTCAGTCATATTGCTTCACTCAAGCAGAGAAAGCTTTATTTTAAAATCATTGTAGCCTCAATTGTCATAGTTTCTGCTGTCACGATAATTAACAAAGTCTTGATTATCCATTTTTGTGTTTAATCATCAACAGACGTTGAACAGCAGATCGAATTAAAATCCAGTAAATATCGCAGGCTAACGATGGCATCAAGATTTGATTATGGTCTTTTCATGTTAATAATGTCTAATTAATCATTTAGATAACATTTCAGGCCTAAAGAAAGACCTGCAATAGGCAGATTTATCTCTTAGATAATGTATGTTTAAGTTTATTAGTTTACATGGACTAAAGAAAAACCTGCAATAAGCAGATTTACCTCTTGCATAATGCATGTCTTAAGTAGTATGTTATAAGAAAAGAGAGTCAAACATTTGAGATTCTTCAAAAATAATGCAACGACCGAAGCTTTAATTCTAAATTAATATTCAACATCTAGAATGATTAAAGATATCATTATTGACGGCACAAAATTTTTTCTGGCTTCCATAAAAAATTGTCAATAATGAATTGACTAATGCACGAGAAATATGTTTTTCGGTTATATTATTATTTATTGATTATTGAGAATGTCTTAAAACTTCTATTACCAAAAACAACCCGAGTTTTAAATAATTGTGCAATACGGGAGAAAGAATTCATGAAGGATTCATGAGAATTTTTTTGGTAAATGAATGATCTGTAATTCAATGATCTGATATTCGGAGAATGAATCAAGGTTAATAAACTTCACTCTATCATATCCCACAATCCATTAACCCTTCGGATCAGGTCGCATTATCTCAATTTCATGCAATTTCAAGCTAAACATCTGATTCCAGTCACGATATGTATATCAAAAAATAAATTGTCATATGTATCAATATTCTCTTAGTATGTTGTCATGGAAACGGTAATGAAACAGAATTTTAAGAGATATTAAAATCCAACTGACATACATGTATTTAGAAAGAGAAGTTGAAAATATTTGTAAAGCAGCTAATGTCAGAGAGAGAGAGAGAGAGAGAGAGAGATGGGGTTTAATCTCCACTTGACATAAACTAGGTCATTTTGGGACTAACATATGGTTTAATTTTATTTCAATAATTCGCTTGCACATAGGCATCTTTAGCAATGGCAGGAAACTCCACTAATATATGATTTAATTTTATTTAAATAATTTGCTTGCGCATAGAGGTCTTTAGCAGTGGGAGTAAACAAGAGGGCTTGGGAGAAAAGCCCATGAGGTTGTTGGACTGGCGACGCTACTCCTTGTCACGTACAAGCGGTGAATCAATACCACACCACTTATGATCTATTGTACACATGTTAAACCAATCAGCTACCTACATGGAACTCCCCCTCATGGAATGGGACAGAACATTTCCTTAATTCTTGCGACAATCAACATCTGTGTCCCTCAAACAGGACATTCCTTAATTCTCGCAACAATTAACATCTGTGTCTCAAATAGTCCAAATAAACAGCTACCTACATGTAACTCCTCCTCTTGGAATGGAACAGAACATTCCTTAATTTTCGCGACAATCAACATCTGTGTCTCTCAAATAGTCCAAATAAACACAGACGTTGACATCAGATTTTTATGACCTTAGCTCTAATGTTAGAGGACACAATATTTAAATATTGAAAGAAAAGAGGAAAAAAAAAAGGGGAAATCTTAACGAAGGCAAGTCAGCTAATCAATATTCTCCTCTCGTCAATCGTTACTAGTGTCATATGGGTCAATAGATTTGGAATAATTTGGTGTACATTACAAATTGAGTTGTCTCGTCTGCCTAATGGATCGTCTCAAAGATAATTTTATACAAATGCATATGTCCATATATTATATATACCAGTACTGTATACCTGTGTTAGGTGTCAATGAATGTGGAACAATTCAAGTAGCAGGGAGGGAGGGAGGGAGAGAGAGAGAGAGAGAGAGAGAGAGAGAGTTTAAC